TCCTCTCAAAGTCTCAAGGCTATCAGATCTCACTCATCTCAGTCATCTCACTCCCAAATCGAATGCGCTCCTCTCAGATCTCAGTCATCTCACTCCCAAATCGACTACGGTGATGGCGGCTTCTCCATTTCTTGGGTTCTTCCTCTCTCTTCTTCGCAGCTTCTTCCTCTTCAGTAAGTTTCTTCCTCTTTTTGCTCCCTTATTCATTTTCTCCTCTTTGAGTTTTTGGGGTGGATGTGGTGGGTTTTGGGAGTTATAGTTTGGTTTCAGGGTTGGTATGGTGATGTTTTGGTGGGTATGGTGGTTTTAGATGGGTTTTGGTGTGGGTAATGTGGGTTTGGGTTGGTCTCGGTCAATGAATGCCAGCGATTAGTGAGGTAGAAGAGAAAGAGGTCGGGCGGGGAGCAAGGATGCCAGCCGGCGTTCAGGAAGGGAGAAGAGAAAGCGAACCTATGTAGTGGCCGAGAGGGCTGAGATTAAAAATGGATCGGGGTGGAGGAGGTAGTGAGTGGAATTGATACAGAGCCCTGCAAATTAAAACAGAAACCCATAAAAACCATTCAATCTTAAAGTTTAAAAACACCAAAAAAAAATAAAAATAAAATATATATATATATATATATATATATATATATATATATATATAGGATTAGGATCATGTAAAAACAAGTCTTAGGGTGAAAACATGAAAACAATTAATCCCAGCCGTAGATTATAATCTAGCGGATGATATTTAATGTATATATATCCTAATTTTCTCTCTCCTCCCGCGAAAACACTTTCTCTTTCCTCTGTTATTTTCTTCCTCCTCTTCCTTCTCTCTTCACTTTCTCTCTCCTAATTTCTCGACATTAGCGAACTCCTTCAGCAACACCGCTTCAATTACCATCAGCGAACTCCTTCAGCAACACCGCTTCAATTACTTTGATTTTTAGCAATTTCTCAGCTCTACGATCTATTATCAGGTGAGTTCTTTGTGGTAATTTCGCTATTTTTGCACGATTTGAGGTTATTAGGTTTCTGAAATTTTGTTTGCTGGAATTTCATGAGTACTTTTTTGTAGATTCAACCGAAAATTTAATGTCTATTATGTTTTTCGTGTATGATTTTTGTTTAATTTTGTAATTTTGCAAGTTTTTTTATTTTATTTTTTCGATTTGATTTGATTTTTTGAATTTCAACTTAAGTTTCGTTTTAGTAGAAGTATTTTTTAAATGTATTTTGTTTAATTTTTCTTAATTTAAGTAAACTAGGTTTTTATGTGTATTTTTGCTCGAAATTCTGCTTTTGTTGTTGTTCTTCATCTTCTTAGTAACACGATTTTTGTTGAGCATAATTTTGTTTTTGTTGATTTCGAGTTTAGCTGATTTTTATGGATTTTGATTTCGAATTAATGCCTGTTAGGAATGCGAATAGCTAAAATGCGAATTGTGTGTGTGTGTTTGTGTTTGGAGTAGTTAATTTGAATTTTGAGTAATTTGAAGTGTTTGTAGTGGATTTGTGAGTGAATTCGGGAGAGTTTGGAGTAGTTAATTCGAATTTTGAGTAATTTGAAGTGTTTTTAGTGGATTTGTGAGTGAATTCGGGAGAGTTTGGAGTAGTTAATTCGAATTTTGAGTAATTTGAAATGTTTTTAGTGGATTTGTGAGTGAATTAGTGAGAGTTTGGAGTAGTTAATTCGAATTCTGAGTAATTTGAAGTGTTTTTAGTGGATTTGTGAGTGAATTAGTGAGAGTTTGGAGACATAAATTAGCTACACTGGTTCCTGCTTCCACTTGGTGTCCAACTCGATTTGTATTTTCCCGTGTTCCGTTTGGTGTAGGCAACAGGAATGGTCATCAATCTCTTGCTAATGATGATCTGGAATTGAGACCTGACCAACATGGTGACATGTTTGGAGATGGACTAACTGCCTTGGTTGCATTGGTGTTCCTTGATGCTGTTGTGTTTCTCTCTTACAACCTGTCTTTTCTTATTTGTGATTTGAAGTGGTTTCAGCTGCATCAAATGTCATTAGGTTCCTACATGAATTATTTGCCTTTTGCACTTAGATAAATTTTCTGGTGTTTGTGATATTGATGCAAAGACTCTTTCCACATCAACCGTAGAAAGAAAGAAAGAAAGAAAGAAAGAACATAAAGTATGAAGAATGCTTCCTGGTTTAAGATACTGACTTTGATTCTATATGTCCGATTTTTGGTGTTGAGTAGATTGCTTAAGCGACTAACCCAGGAGCTACAGACATCTGGGGTGGATTTGTGATAGATTGCTTCTGATCATGCTAAATCGACATCTACATGACTTTCTTGACTGTTGAAAAGTGTACTTCTAGTCTGACATATGTGCATGGTTAATTTGACTCTGTACTGGATTTTGCTTCAAAATTTCTGAATTAGGCTTGTTTTGAACTTGAATCAAGGTAGCCAGAATTCGAGGATTTGGATACCTTAGTTTGATCTGATTTTCACTGCCCTGACCTGACTTGAATTGATTTTTTTATTCGTAAACAAATTGGTTGTCAAAAGACATAAATATGAATATGACCTGAACTTGTTCTAAACCAAACCAAAATAAACTGAATCTTTTTGGAGGGGTGTTGGACTATGTTATTTTTGAAGTTTTGTTTTAAAAAAAGGTCACTATGCCATAAAAAGAGGCAACTACTTTGGTTTCTTTTGTTTATCTTTTCGTATGTCTTGTTACAGGGTGCAACAAGGATTTTCATTCGATTTGGATTAGATTTTATTCCTATGGTGAGAACTAGAGATGGTGCTACTTTTAAAAAAAGGAGAGGCCTTCGTAGCTCAACAGGAGGAGTTAAATTGAAAGATACAGGAGGTATGATGAATGTTTGATTTTTGGATTATTAACCTTAATATACTAGTTGCTCTATTATGATAGTCTCCTAATACTATAGAATGTAGGTCCCTATATTAATATAAAAGTTACTATATTATTAGTTCCCTATGTAACTGAAAAAGGTCACTATATCAATGACAATGATTATTATTTTTAAGTTATTAGTTTGCTATATTATAATTGTTTGCTAGATGAAAATGAAGATAATTGTATATATAACTATATGCTTGCGTGTTTTTAGCATGTATCAATCTCGATCATGAAGATGAAGAGCATATTGATGGTGGAAGCAAAATGATCGATGATGATACTAACAGAGATAAAGATGCTTGTATTGAAAAAGGATTGAAAAAGAAAGCTATCACTAAGAAAAAGAAACCTTCTAACATTGAGAATGCTATACCTTTGTCAACTGTGATGGAAGGAAAGAAGGGGAATGAGTCTTCTTCTTCACATGCTATTGTTTTGCCAGCTAAGAAGAGAAAGTTGGATGAAAATGAAGGTCTTAAAGTGAAGAAAGTGAAGGCAAATAAGGATAAGAACATTGTGATTCATAGGCAAGAATCTGCAATCATAGATAGTGATGTACATATGTAAGTGAATATTTGTTTCTTTTTTTTGAAGTTTTGTTTAAAAAAAAGGTCACTATGCTATAAAAAGAGGCTACTATTTTGGTTTCTTTTGTTTATCTTTTCGTATGTCTTGTTACAGGGTGCAACGAGGATTTAAAACACGTTGCAGGCCATTTCATTTAGTAGAGATGATTAAAACTTTTTCAGATGATCAAATCAAGGCTGTTAAAGAAATTGGCTTTGGAGGTTTGTTATCTTTGAAGGTGAAACGAACTGCAACTGATATGCTATCATGGTTGGTAGATTGTTTTGATCATGGTAGCTGCATGTTTACTATTGATGGTAAAAAAGATTTGTTGTGACTGAATTTGATGTGTATGATGTTTTTTGCCTTCCTTGCAAAACATCTAAGAAAGTTGAAGAAATTTCTCGTTGTGCTAATGTCATCAACCCTGATTATGATTTAAAGGTTAAATGGAGGTCTCATTTTGGTCTTATGGGTGAGAATGATCAGATTCCTTTGGGTTTTTTGGAATCTAAGATCCCTTTACTAGTAGATGGCGGGGAAGAATTCAGACAGCTTTTTATCATGCATGCTTTTTCAAGTTTTTTAGCACCTACGTCCAACAGAACTGTGGATTTGAGAATTGTAAAATGTTTGGTTGATGTTAATCAAATAAGAATTTATAATTGGTCAAAATATGTCTTAGATAGACTTTGTGAAGCCGTGAAGAGCTACAAAGAAGGAAATATAGAATGGTTTTGTGGTTGTGTTTTGATGTTAGAGATTATCTATTTTCATCGATTGAGGTTTAGGAATGTTGTGTTAAATTCTACAATACCTTATATTCAACATTGGACTGATGTGGATATAAGAGATAGAATTAGAAATGAAAAGTTGTCCAAGGGTTTTGGGTGTGGAATTCTTGAGTTTGATACATATCCAGTGAGTGAGAAGTTGCAATTTGAGGATGGACAAGTTGTTTGTAATCAATTCAAGGAAGCTCCTGTGAATCAAACTTCTGGAAAAGAATTTGTTGTTTATGAAGGTGTCCGTAGCAATGTTAAGGGTGTTATTCAGTTTGAGCTACCTGCCAGTTCAATGTCTAATGAGGAAATCCGTTCAATTGCTATTGATGTAAGTATTTTACCCTTTAATTCTGTCTGTCTGTTTGGTTTTTTCTTTTTTTTTTTTTTTTTTTTTTTTGTCACAAATTATTTTATTAAATCTAAGTGCTACATTTTTTTTTCACAGGAAGTTTATGAGAAGTTTTTGCTCATGAAAAGAGATTTAGAAGTGGTATCTAACTTCTACATGAATGAGTTGAAAGTGTTATTTCAGACTCGTAAATCTAATGATGCTTCAACTTCGACACCTCCAATGTCCCAAACTGATTTATTCTTTATGAATCCTCGTGTTCATGAAATTGTTGATGAGATTGTGTCTCTTGTAAATTGGGTAAGCAAAGTGCCTAATGGTTTGGATAATGATGATATTGATGATAATGGTGCACCTGCAAAAGAGATTAATGTTGTAGTTGGTGAGGTTCCAAGGATAGGTTTTGAGCATGTTCTGAGTAATGGAAAATCTAAATGCTCCCTTGCTATGGATGTTAGTCTCTTTGGTGATAAAGTTACATATGTAACTGAATATATGAAGTCAAGTAATAAGGATATGAAGGTTTTGGATGCAGTTGTCCAGGAACTTGTTGACTACTGCATTAGTGATTATCATGGTTTCGATCTCAAGTAAGTCATGTCATTGTTCTTTTTGTTATTTATTTTCAAATTTTAATAATAAGTGACTATGTTAATATACATGTGTCTTTTTATTTCCTTGTACAGTGAGGTGTTGGTATCTTTTGGCAAACCATTTGAGATTACAAGGAATGAATTCCTTTCATTAGGTGCACCGGCTATTGCTATATCTTCTGTTATTATTGATTGTTGGGCTATGTTGCTTAATGAAAACCAGAAGAGTAGTGCACATGGACCTCAAAAACTATATTTTGGTGTTTCTCAAAGTGTAAGTATCTTTCGGCTATTTAGTTACTACATCATTATAATGGTAGTTGTTCATTATAAAAAATCCATAAATTAATTTCACTATGTATTGAAAACAGTCACTATGATTCATAAATTAATTTCACTATGCAATGAAAACAGTCACTATGTAATGCAAGTAATTACATTTAAGAAAAATAACTCTACCTTCTAATTTTTTTAATATTTATTAATGTTTGTTCTTTTTTAGGCTTTTTTACTGAAAGTTGCAAACACAGATAGTAACACACAAGACATTGACAAGCTATTTGACATTTGGTCAAGATGGTTGTTCATTCCTTGCAATGATTTTGATATTGCAAATGTTGAGTTGGTAATACATTGCAAATGTTGACAATCATTTTTCAACTAAGTACTTTTATATTAAGTTTTTCAAGCTTAATAGTTGTTTATTTATTTATTGCAGATATTTGTTCCTATACTCTTGAATGAGCACTTTTTCCTAATTGTTGTGAATTTGAAGGAAGAAAAGCTTCAGTTCATTGATAATATGAGTTATGATACAAAGTACATGAGTGAGGTTGAGAAGTTCTCTGATGTTCTGGTAAAAATATGATATTTTGGATTTTATTTGTATTTTTCTAGTTAGGATATGCTTCATGGAACCTAAAGTATTAATTTATTTTGCCTAGAGTGATATGCTGAGTACTTTTCTTGATCAACGCCTTCCTCAAAGTAATGACTCGGTGAAGAACATGATTGAGTATACTTTGGAGTCACCTTCTGTAAATTGGAAGTCTGGAAAACAGAAGAATAATGATAGTGGCATTTATACTATGGTCAGCATGCTTTACTTTGATGGAGCTGATGTGTTCGACTGCGATGTTTTGAAAACGGTTATCTCGTCTCATTTTTTTTATTTGGCTTTCAATTTTTATTATATTAACTATTTCCTCCATGGAATTTAACTAGCTTTTTTATTCTAATTTTTGCTTAAATTAATATATTAGGTTTCAACTAGACGGACATTGAGAGCTCAGATTGCTGCTACTCTGGTATTATCTGATATGAACATTGTCAGAGATGAAGTTCTTGAAAAGCTATCTGAATTCAGATTAATAAGGAGTCAAGTTGCAAAAGATGTTTTTGATGGGATTAAGAAGAAAACAAAGCAAGGTAAAAAGGAAAAGAAAGTATAGGCAGACTAACGAATATGTGGATGAAGTTTTTTGCTCGGAAGTATTTGTATTTTGCACAGAAGTAGGAAATCTAATGTAATGATGTAGTTTGCATCAACAAATGGATAATCTAACAAAATTGTATAAGTGTTAATATAGAACAATATGATATGATTCCAGTTCATACAAAGCTTTTGAATTGGTGGTATTGGTAGTTCTTTTGATATGTAATCTTTAATTGACATTCAAGAAGTTTAGTGAAATATCTATTAGTTATAAATTTGGCGCCTATGTTATAAAAAAATGGTACCTATGTTATTTAAAAAGGTTTCTATATGATAAGGTCACTATGTATTTAAAAAGGTATCTATGTTATTTAAAAGGTTTCTATATTATAAGGTCACTATGTATTTAAAATGTTATTAGTTCAATGTGTTATATATAATTAAGTTATAATGCAAAATTATCACCATATTCATTATTATATTTTGTATACATATGTGACAAGTTTTCAAAGGACCTATGATAAATATGTACCTAAAAATGTCTAACTTTTTTTTATCTCTTAAAAAAGAAAAAAAAAACTTGAAAAAGGATATTATATTACTTTTTATAGTCATTATGTAAGTAAAATGGCATTATATGAGGTAAAAATTTCCAATTACTATGCGATGCAAAAGGATCACTATGAGATGCAAGAGCGTTACTATGTGATAAAAAAGATTTCTATAATAATCTGTCTCTATTTAAATAAAAGGTCACTATGTAAGGTAAAAGTGTCGTATTTATATTAATCTATTCTTAAGCTATTCATTTAGTATATCAATTAAAAGAACGAGCCCCTCCTTCCCTAACTTTGTATTGGCTTAATCGATGTGGATTAGAAGAATTGTTAAAATGTGAGTATTTTTTATACGGTTGTTATATCATAATAAAGGTCATTATATCACTAAAAAGGTTATCACGGAATAAGGTGTCAATACGATGAAAAAAAGTCACTATGACGTTAAAAACACATACTATAATATAAATTGAAGTTATCATATGCCAATATGTCACTACATCAAAATAACAATATAAAGGTCAATAAAAAGTTTAACAATAAAAGGTCACCCTATCAATAAAATTTTAACAATAAAAGGTCCCTGTTTAATATATGTGAAACAATAACAATCACTATATCAATAAAAAGGGCACTATAGCACTATGTTCTTTCTTTCCTCTCATCTCCTCTATTTCAGCACTAGGCTGTCAGTAGCCGATGTTGCTTCTTGTAAATATGAAGTGGTTTTGCAGCCTTTCTACTCTTCTTTGAAATCCTGAAATCATGTACACGAACATATATAAAGTGAAAATCTAGTGGGAAGTAAACATAGTACAAAATTTATTTATTTTTTTCTACAAAAATACCTCATTCAAGTTGGATTTTTTTTGCGGACAATTCCGACTATCATGGTTTGTTCTCTGACCACAAGTTCTACAAAGTCTATCTTTCCTTTGGCTTTCCTCAATAGCTATCTCTTTGTCAGATTTTTTCCTTTTTCCACTACCACTACCTTTGTTGGAAGACTTGTTTGGAGGAAGAATATCAACAACTATGTCATTAGATCCAACAAATAATTCGATGTGTTTATTTTTTGCCTCACGTTTATCAACTGGACTTATAGAATCCAAGTCTTTCATCTCATTTTCAAAAGATATTAGCTTAGACAACAATGACTCTAGGCATTCAACTTTCTCCTCACAAAGACTTACACATGAAAAAAACCTGCACCATAAATCACCAACTAGCTTTTGCTTCTTATCCTTCTCTGCCCCATCAAGCAAGTTGTTTAAGCCAAAAATTGGTTTCTTCATAGCTTCTTTAGTCCAACGATGTAAAACATATTGCCTTGGAATCTCAAATAAGAACTTTCCTTTCATGACAAAGAGAATGTGACGACATAATATTCCAACAGATTCAAACATTTTACAAGAGCATGAAGCATCATTAGAACACAAAACATATGTGACATGATAGCTTTTTTCCTTGTGTTTTCAACAATTCTATATTGCTCAATCCCTTCTTCTTCTTTGATGGTAACATTACTTATACCACAATTGTACAAAGCATGCTTGAATTCCTTTTGGAATATGTAAAATACATTATGAGTGTAAGCAAATGCAGCATGCTTTTCCAAGTACAGGGGGGTGACAAGTTGGGGATGTGTAGTTTTTGAAGTAGCATTCAACTTGTCTTGTGTGTGCCTTTGAGCATCGATTGCAGATTCATAGCGAAACCACAACTCAACCAATAACAAATGCTGATTGGTGAAATTAGTGAAAAAGCTATTTTCACTCTCTGATCTTTGAGTTGACCTTAAAATCCCACCCATAAAAAGGTCACGAAAGTAGGAAGGAATCCACATATTCCTTATATTATACATATTTTTGAACCAATATTCATTCACTAAATCAAATTCAGACATCACAGACTGCCAACCAATTTCAAATTCTTCTGGTTCAAGGTCTCTATTCCACACAACAGAGTTTAGTTTATGAAGAAAATCAGTTTCTAAGCATAATTTGGGCCCTACCTTTTGTGGCACTTTTTTCATAATGTGCCACATACAAAACCTATGTTTTGCCTTATCAAGAACTTTTTCAATTGCCACTTTCATCGCAGGGTCTTGATCTGTCATGATACAGGTAGGCTGACAGTTATTCATTGCCTTTAAGAAAGTTTCAAATAACCATTCAAAGGATTCAATATCCTCCTTTGCAAGTAAGCCTATCCCAAAAGTCACACACTTACCATGGTGATCAACACCCGTAAATGGGGCAAAAACCATAGAGTATTTGTTGGTGTCAAATGTTGTATCAAATGTAATCATATCACAGAACAACGAATAATTTTTTCTACTAATTGCATCTGCCTAAAATACTCTTGTCAAGCGTTGATGTTCATCCATACAATGCTCAAAGAAAAAGGCACCTTCACTGTTTTCAGCTTTTTCTTTCAAATTGTTTATAAACATCGAAGCATCTTTCTCTTGTATGTAAGCTTTCAAGTCTCGATTAAAGTTCTTGAAATCATTCAATGTTGCACCTATATTATCATAGCTACCAAGATGTTCTTTCATCAACTTATAAGACTTGTTTGGACCAATGTTCAATCTAGAGTTGTCAAAAATGAATTTTTTCTGGCCAAGTTTAAGGTTTCCAACATTTGCCAAAAAATTCATTGTGTTGGGAGAATCAAGATTGTGGCTATGAGATTCATGAAAGACATAAACCATCCATTTTCCATCTGAACGTTCTCTAAACCCAATCATTGCATTACATCCAACACGATTTATGGTTCTTTTTCTAGCTTTAGGATTTTTATCTTTGTTAGAAACTTTTGCTTTAGTTTCACCATCCTTCGTAAACCCTTGTTTATTACAATGTAAATATTTCAAGTAGACTTTATCACTATCTTTAATTCTCTTTTCAGTACCTAGTCTTACCACAAACCCACCAAATCTAGCATATTGCTTATAAAAATCAACACCTTTAAGTAAGGAATCAAAAAGCATACCAAGTGTAGGCTTTAGTTCAGGGGGACAACACGGTATAAACTCTTTTGTTCCTCTGGGAGTGTAACACACACTTGGGCCCTTTAGTGACGGTAAGTTTTCAGCAACATTGGTAGTTGTAGATGTATTTGAGCAACTACCTTCTTCTGACTCCTCTTGCATTGTCTGCATATAATATCAAATATATGGTTTAAAATGGGTACTATAATAAAATAATCCATTCCATGGTGCAACTAACTGGACACCAACAAAAACAGTCTAAAATATATGGTTATGGTATCATAAAAAAGAGTTACTATATGGTATTAAGCAAGGTGTTAGTCATTTAAGCAAATACACAAACACCTTATGTGCAACAATTTCTCCTAGTGTTTAATATCATATATCCAGGAAAAAAAAACTTTAATATAAAAAATATATATATATATTGCAAATATTTATACAAAAACGAAAAAAGAGCATATTGTTGATGAGGATTGAAACTACAAGTTGATGAGATTGAAACTAAAAAACAGAGCACTATTATAAAAACAGTCTACAATAATCACATACAAGGAAATAACCTACCATGCGCAATCAAATAGAAATTCAAGAAATTCAGCTTATATACAAGGAAATAATCACAGTTATATCGGTATTGTAAGCCGCAATCAACTAGAAATTCAGCTAAAAACAGAAATTAAAGAATGAAGAACACTTACTAAGATTATTGAGGAAGCCCCAAATTATTGAAGAATCACGAGCCCTCAATTTTGGGAGTAAATAATCAAAGTAGCCCTAAAATTTGACGAATTGAGGAATTGACGATTTGATAATGAGATGAAAAGAGGATTTGCTGAGATTTGCTGAGATTTTGCGTTTTTCAGCAAAATTAACAGAGGATTTGCTGAGATTTGCTAAGATTTTGTGTACCTTGTATTTCAACCGTTAGATTATATCATTAATAATCAATGGCTGAGATTTGCTGTTTTTAGTTTTCACCATAAGCCCTGTTTTTAGCGGAACCCTCCCGTATATATATATATATATATATATATATATATATATATATATATATATATATATATATATATATATATATATATATATATATATATATATATATATATATATATAAGAAGATTATATTGAATAAAAAGAAAAGATAAAGAATTGGGAAATTGGCCTTCCTATGAATCTCCAAGGGGGTTTGCCATAAGAAGTGCAAGATTCCATTTTTTCAAGTTTCTGCTTTCTTTGAAATTCAGCTCAATTTATTTGTTTTCTGTAAAGTTGGCTTTTCAGCAACTATTGTAATAGTAGTAGTATTAGTCCATAGTTCTGCAAACCAAATGAATGAATGATACAACAAAGCAAGGCGGCGGTGAGGTCACTGAGGAGACATCCAGCTAATTAGATGGATTTTGGACTATCTATAAATAGCAAGTAGCAGCCTTTTGGTATTTTTAATATAGCAAGTTGGTTATGATATGATGATACTATAACTCAGATATTTTAGTCTATAGTTTTGTAAGTATAAATATAGGCTGATTTTTGTTCAATTACTGGTTCAATTAGCATGTGTTCATACTGCCAATATATTTGATTAGTGACTTAGTGTTCAGTTATTGCTATAGGCTAACTTGTGTTCAATTAGTGACTTAGTGGCGTTAGTGTTCAATTTTGTGGGTTGATATTTGATTGTTCATTATAATTAGTATGCTTTAATATTTAATTTTTGTGGGTGAATATTCTACAATTTGTGGGTATTTAAATTCTGAAGTGGTCAAATGTTAATGTTGTGTTGTAGATAATGGATTATCATGATATTACTGCTGAAAGTGCTGCCCCAACTAACCCGTCAAGTGAGGATCCCTTGGCTTCAAGTGCTGCTACTGCCGAGCCTGTTGGAGATCAAAATCCACCACCAACAGTTTCAGCAAAAAGACCTTCAAATGGGACTAGTAATGATGTAGGAGTTGAAAATAAACGTAAGAAAAAAAGGTCTTGGCTTTAGGTTCATTTTGAGTTGATAAAAAAAGGTGGGGATAAAAGATCGAGATGTTTGTATTGTCATGTTGATGTTTGTGGTGACTCTAAAAGTGGTACAATTGTTATGAAAAATCATCTTTCAAGGTGTAAGGATTATCCCCTTAATATTGAGCAATCACAAAGGCTTCTTGCTTTTTCTAGTGAGCAAAGTATAGGTGATAATAAAAAATGTGAAAAGAAAGGAAAATTAGAATTTTGGAAGTTTAGGCAGGAGGATGGTCGAAAAGCTTTTGCTAAAATGATAATAATGGATGAATTGCCATTTAGGTTTTCTGAGCGTGAGGGTTTTCGCCATTTTATGTCTGTTGTTCAACCAAATTTCATTATTCCCTCTTGTTTCACAGTTGCTAGAGATTGTTATCGTGTGTTTTTGGACGAAAAAAATCTGAAAAGCTACTTTAGCAAGTGTTCTTCTCGTATTTGTCTCACTACCGATACATGGACCTCTTGTCAAAAATTTTCTTACATGTGTTTAATAGCCCATTTTATTGCTCATAATTGGAACTTGCACAAAAAAAATTTAAATTTTTGTCCAATTAGTGGCCATTCAGGTGAGGCTATTGGTAAATCGGAAAGTGTTTGCTTGAGTGCGGTATCACCAAGGTAATGACCATTACCGTAGACAACGCAAGTTCAAATGATGTAGGGGTTCAATATTTGAGGAGGAGGTTGCAAAGATGGAAAGATGGGAATTTGTGCATATGTGATGTGCAGCCCACCTTCTTAATTTAACAGTGAGGGAAGGTTTGAAAGAATGTGATGAATCAATAAAAAGAATACATAATGCTATGAGATTTGTTAGATCTTCCCCTGCTAGATTGCAAAAGTTTTGAAATTGTGTTAATCAAGAACAAATTGAATCAAAACATCAACTTTGTTTGGATGTTGAAACTAGGTGGAACACCACTTATTTGATGTTAGAGTATGCTATGGTTTATCGAAAAGGTTTTGATTTGTTGGAAAATTCTGATGGTGGTAAATTTCTTGTTGAACTAACAAAACTTTTTGGTATTCCTAATGATAACAATTGGGACCGTGTTGCTTCTTTGCTTCCCTTTCTTAAGATATTTTATGATGCCACTTTGAGACTTTCTGGATCTTTGTATGCTACTACTAATGTGTATTTGCTTGAACTTGTGACAATTTGGAAGATGATTAAAAAAAAGTGTGAAAGTGTTGATAGTGCTGAGATGTTAATGGCCTATGGGATGAAGGAAAAGCATGTAAAATATTGGGAAAATTTGGATAGCATTAACTTGATGTTGTATGTTGCTGTTGTGCTTGATCCTAGACGCAAAATGCATTACGTGAAGTGGGCTATTAATGATCAATATGACTCTGTGAAGGCTGGAAAATTGCATGATATGGTCAGAATACTTTGACTTCGATGTATGAACATCATGCTTCTTTACAAAGTCAAAATGTGCCAAATGTTTTATGAAAATATTGATTTGAGTTCAAGAGACTTGGAAACTTGTAATGGTTGGCATGATGTGGCTGATTATGAGTTTGAAAGGGATATTGGTGGAAAAACGGTTTTTGATAAAAAAAAAAAAAAAAAAAAAAAAAAAAAAAAAAAAAAGTGATTTAGACAAGTACTTAATGGATGATAGGGAGCCCATCACGGGTAAGAATTTTGATGCTTTGGGGTGGTGGAAAAAAGGGGTAGAGATATCCTATTGTTGGTCTTATGGCTAGGGATGTATTAGCCATTCCAGTTTCTACGGTTGCATCCGAATCTGCGTTTAGCACCGATAGAGTACTTGATGTGTTTCGTAGTTCTCTTTCTTCCGAAGCTTTGTATGTGCACAAGATTGGATGCGTAATACACGTGGTTCACTTATGATTAAAGAATGATAGGCGGTCGCACACCTAACAAAAATAACCTAACTAATCCTCCTAACTATGTAGTAGGGTAAGTCAGGGTCGATCCCACAGAGACTATGGTTCACCTGAATTATCTAGACTCAAGTCATTACTAAGCAAAAATCAACAATGGTGGAATAATCTGAAACTAAAGTATGGAAAACTAGAACAAATTGAACGAGTATGAGAAATCAATAAACTAAACATCCAAGATCAAGTATCACCACAATTACAATCGATGCAATTATATTTCTACCCCTAACATACGATTCCAATCGAATGGGGAAAAGTAAACCCTAATCAATACCAAAGACCTCTCTCGAGTATCAATGGCTTCCCTAACATATAATCAAGCCTGTTCTCATGGTATCATGCAAATTAGAGACATTAAACACATTACTCTAACTTCCCAATTATCAACCCAACTATTCTCATGTTGAATCTCAAACCCTAAATTGATCTACCCAATTCCGTTTAAACCCAACTCTCGTTGTGATAGAAACAATGGAATAATAACAATACTAATTATCTCTAATCTAGTATTGGCATAATCACAATCAATTTAGCATAAGCAATTACAAAAGTCATTAGAGAATTTAAAGAATTAATTCATGCATCAATCATAATTGGCTACCCTAGACCTTGGAATAAGGAATCTACTCACTCATAATGAAATAAACAATAAAAAAAATAATTAAGGAAAACATAATTAAGAAAATTAAAGATGAAAAGAAAATACCGAATCTTGAATTGAATGGAAAACTGAAAGTAGAAATCTTGAATCTTGAATTACAAAAGCTAAAGCAAAATAATGGAGAGTACTAGGTCTTAACAATGTAAAACTAGACTAATAAAAACTTAATTATCAAATAAAACAATACTTTAGTGTATTTATACTCCTAGAAAGATAATAAGATAATTAAATTTCTTGGCGCATAATCCTTCCAGGAGGCACGGACGTGCCTCTAATCGAGTGCAAACTTCCTTGGCTTCTGACTTCCAGGCACAGACGTGTCTGTGCTGGGCACGGACGTGCCTCCTGACGAGTGTAATTCTGCAGTCTTGGGCACGGACGTGCCTAATGTCGAAGCTCATAGCTGTGTAAACTGACTTGGAGGCACGGAAGTGCCTCACTCCAAAAGTCCCTAAATAGCTCGTTCTTCAATCAACAAGCCTCGTGAAGGTTCGTGGGCCTCGGATTAGCTTCGTGACTTCGTAAAATATCCAATCTAGCTCCGTTAATCCTAAAATACATCAAAAACAACGAAACTACCCATAAAAGCATCGAATCATCGAAACTAAACCAAATTACACCAAAATAGACTAAAACACTCGACTAAGCTAATAAAACCAACTAAAAATAAGCTAACAAATATGCACAAAACACGACTTATCAAACTCCCCCAAGCTAAACTAATGCTTGTCCTCAAGCATTTAACCATGAATCACAAGGGAGGAGAAAGACAACTTCTCAAACCATCATAATGTGCCATCAATTTGAAATCACGAGGAAAACAAAAATTAGAGTTAATATGCATAAAACCACCATAAACCTCTTAAACTTGGAATCGACAAACATCTTACCACACATCTCCCCATACCAACTCACACAAACATGAATAGCTCTCACTTTAGTTGTGAAAAATAAAGACAATAAACGCTCATGTGTTTACGGGGTGAAATACGATATCACTCAACCTAAGCATAGAGTGCATGTCAACTTCACATGAATTGTCCTCCTTAGGCTTGCAATGTGACTTTCTCCACTTCTAATGATTGATGCAATTACGAAATCATGAAATCCATAAAGGGTAAGCTTGGTAAACAAGGGTTGGACGACGTTATTTGGGAATGTGGTGCTCAAAATATAACAAATCCTAATCCCACTACACATTCAAATGTCGGGTTCAAACCAACCTTATTTCCTCCAACTTCATACAAAATAAGCATAGCCCCTTATTTCTTTCTTTTTCCTTCTCTTTTTTTTTCCTTTTCTTTTTCTCTGTTTTTTTTTCATTCATTTTTTTTTTCTTTTGCAAAAAGAAAGGGATTCATAGAAAATTAGGATTTAGGAAGACTTTAAACTCTTTAATTCGAGGTAAGGGTGTATGCAAGTTCAACACCCCTTTTTTTTCTTTCTTTTCTTTTCTCTTCTTCCTTCCTTCCTTCTAATAAATCAATTCCCTTCTTTCTTTCTTTTTTTTTCAATTTTTTTTTCATTTTTTTTTTCCTTTTTTTTCATATATCACTCATAGGGCTTTAACAAGTGTAATGCTCCTTCAAAATAAACCTAGGAAAATAGCTCTATGGCTTTAAACGTAGGGTATCAAGAAGGGGTTAAAACACGGCTCAAATTGGCTCAACCTACGGGTGGATGAAAAATAATAAAAAAAAATATGTAGGCCTAGAATGTGGAGGCTCTATTCTCTACAAGGAAATTTCAATCATTTTTTCGCAACATGCATCATTCAAGTCTCAAACAGTCAAAGAGCAAGACCAAGAATTCAATTATGTGAAGGACAACTAATCACACATGAAGAAACACGACTGAGATAGAGTGCAATCAGTCAAATATGGCTCAAAAATCTCACCGGGTACACAAACTATTCACATAAGTAGAGCGGGGAGACCATCCTGGCCACAAACCAACTCAATTCCAAGCAAATCGGTAAATGGGTTTTCGAAAACTCTTTTCGCAAAGCACACATATATGATTGTTATCATAGAAGCATAGGCATGTAAAGGCATATCAACAACACTAATTAGAAAGAAACTAACTAAATACTAAAAAAAAATATATACATGGTGAAAAATGATTCCTCCCCCAAGCTAAACCATACATTCTCCTCAATGTATGCATAAAACAGTGAAAATGGACAAGGGGAGAAGGAAACAAATCTACGGATCAGGAGGGTGAGAATCATACCTCGGGCCGGAGCTAGGGCCGCCCTGAAAATGCTGACGCATCATGCCCCTTCCATAGAGTCCTCCTTCGTAGAATCTGTTCTTTTCACCTACATAAAGAGAGAGAAAATAATAAAAATTAGAACACTAATAACCATATCTAGAATCAAAAATAAAAATAAAAATAGGAATAAAAGAAAAGTAAAGGATCAAGAATGGGTTGCCTCCCATTTAGCGCTTGTTTATAAGGCTTTAGCTCGACCGTAGTGATAGCTCAGCCTGGGTCACCGCACGAAGGAGGAACTCCGCGATGTTGCCCATGAAAATATCTGCTTCCAAGTGACTCCTTCATTTTATAATTTACCTGCCTTGTATCGAACTTACCTTCATGTGGCCAAATACATCATCGGGTGGAATTTTGTCCTTTCTTCTCACGAACATTCTATCAAATACATACTTATCAACCAAGGGGTCAATAGCATCGATTCTTAAGCAAGTACCGCCATCAAATATAGAATTATGTTCATCAAAGAGCTTGAACATGACTTGTTTATACTGGGCCCTAATGGTCACTTGTCCTTTAGGAACATCTATTAAAGCTTGACTTGTCGCAAGGAATGGACGACCAAATATAATCGGGATCTTATAGTCTTCTTTCATGTCCATAACAACAAAATCAACAGGAAAAACAAGTTCACCAACCTTAACTAAGACATCTTCAACCACAACCTTAGGGAGTCTAGAGGTCCTATCAGCCAATTGAAGAGAAATAGGGGAAGGTTTAAGTCCTTAAATCCTAAACTCTCATATAATGAATAGGGCATTAAGTTAACACTAGCACCTAAATCGCACAAAACCCTGTCGAAAAATTTTTCGTTTATCGTGCAGGGAATAGTGAAACTACAAGGATCATGGAGCTTAGGTGGTAGGTTATCATATAAGAGAGTAGGGCCTTTCTTATTTACTACGTCCTTATCCTCATGTTGATCTTTAATATTCTTCACAAAAGTTGCAAATTGAGGCATTTGAATTAAAAGATCGGAAAAGGGAGTAGAAGCATGTACCTTCTCAAGGGCTTCGCAATATTTCCCAAAATGTCTATCGAGTACGGCTTTTGACAACCTTTGCGGGAAAGGCATTGGTTCCTCATAAGCCGGTGGAGCAACATATTTGGGGCCTTGGACATCTTTTCCCCTTTCATCCTTCCTAGACTCCACACTGCACACCTTCTCACCTATATGCCTCGGAGATGGTTCATCTCTTCTCAAGAAAACTGCATTGCATTGTTCTTTCTGGACCTTTGCTTGATCATGAAGAGTTGATAGGCGACTCACCTGTTGTGAAAGTTGACTTATTTGGGTTTCCATGAGCTTACTCTGGGCTTGCAACTGTTGGATGGAGTTACCTTGTTGTTGGATAGAGCTACTTTGTTGTTGGATTGCACTATTGGTTGCAGTAATAAAGCTCTCTATCATCACCTTAAGGCTAGATTTTTGAGGTTGTGGTTGCATTGGTTGTGGGTTCATGGGTGGTATTTGTTGGAAGCCAGGTGGTGGTGGTGGATTTTGCTGTGCTTGGGTGTTTTTATAGGAGAAGTTGGGATGTTGTTTCCAACCTTCGTTGAAAGAATTAGAGTAGGGATTAAAAGGTTGTTTGGGGTTCGAAGAGTAGAAAGCATTGGCTTGTTCAATAGACATCTCACTCATGTTCTGCGGGCAATCTGGTGCGATGTGGCCTTGCACATTGCACAATTGAAAAACCTCCAGTGGGCTAGTAGAAGTTCCAGCTTGGAACTTATCAAACCTGCTTGTTAGTGCCTGCACAGAACTGGTTAGCATAGTCAAGGCATCTACATCAAGTTTACCTCCTTTTTTCACAGTATGTTGGCCTCCTGGATGATAATTGTCATTGGCCGCCATCTTCTCTACAAGCTCCTTTGCTTCAGTTGGGTTCTTTGTCAAGAGAGAGCCTCCTGACGCAGAATCAATATAGATTCGGAACTCATGAGTCATTCCATTATAGAAGGTTTGCATTAATATCCACTCTGGAATGCCATGATGAGGGCATTGTCTCTGTAGCCTCTTAAACCTTCTCCAAGCCTCATAGAGAGACTCGTCATCTGACTGTCTAAAGGTGGATAGCTCATTCCTCAACCTAGCAGTCTTCTCTTGTCCCAAAAACTTCACTAAGAAGGCCTTCACTAGCTTGTCCCATGTATCGAACGAGCCAGTGCCTTCATCTCTCAACCACTCCCTTGCCCTATCCCGTAATGAGAAGGGGAAAAGGCGAAGTCTTATAGCATCATCTGTTACACCATTCATTTTCATTGTGTCACATTTCTCCAGAAAACTATCAATATGACTTACTGGGCAATCATGTGGTGTGCCTGCAAATGAATCATTAAAGATGAATTGAATAAATTGCGGCTTAAGTTCGTAGTGCTCAGCCGTCACAGGTGGCCTGACGATGCTAGAAAGAAGTCCGGTAGTCGTGTCAGGAATACCGTACTCCAAAAGGGATTTTGTTCCTTGGTCTACCATGTTTCTCCTACGTCGATTTCTTGTTCTCCTTCTTCTTATAGTTGCCTCGATCTCAGAGTCAAATGGTTCAAGATCTTCTGAACCTGAGCGTCGTGTGGGCATGCAACAAGAAACTAGAGAAAGAGTATCAAAAACACAAGAGAGAATAGTCGAAGCAACAAAATAAGCCTAGCAAAAACGAATCACAAATAATCTAATGAAACCGTTAGTCCCCGGCAACGGCGCCAAAATTTGATAGGCGGTCGCACACCTAAAAAAAATAACCTAACTAATCCTCCTACCTATGTAGTAGGGTAAGTCAGGGTCAATCCCACAGAGACTATGGTTCACCTGAATTATCTAGACTCAAGTCATTACTAAGCAAGAATCAACAATGGTGGAATAATCTGAAACTAAAGTATGGAAAACTAGAACAAATTGAACGAGTATGAGAAATCAATAAACTAAACATCCAAGATCAAGTATCACCACAATTACAATCGATGCAATTATATTTCTACCCCTAACATACGATTCCAATCGAATGGGGAAAAGTAAACCCTAATCAATACCAAAGACCTCTCTCGAGTATCAATGGCTTCCCTAACATACAATCAAGCCTATTCTCATAGTATCATGCAAATTAGAGACATTAAACACATTACTCTAACTTCCCAATTATCAACCCAACTATTCTCATGTTGAATCTCAAACCCTAAATTGATCTACCCAATTCCGTTTAAACCCAACTCTCGTTGTGATAGAAACAATGGAATAATAACAATACTAATTATCTCTAATCTAGTATTGGCATAATCACAATCAATTTAGCATAAGCAATTACAAAAGTCATTAGAGAATTTAAAGAATTAATTCATGCATCAATCATAATTGGGCTACCCTAGATCTTGGAATAAGGAATCTACTATAATGAAATAAACAATAACAAAAATAATTAAGGAAAACATAATTAAGAAAATTAAAGATGAAAAGAAAATACCGAATCTTGAATTGAATGGAAAACTGAAAGTAGAAATCTTGAATCTTGAATTACAAAAGCTAAAGCAAAATAATGGAGAGTACTAGGTCTTAACAATGTAAAACTAGACTAATAAAAACTTAATTATCAAATAAAACAATACTTAGTGTATTTTTACTCCTAGAAAGATAATAAGATAATTAAATTTCTTGGCGCATAATCCTTCCAGGAGGCACGGACGTGCCTACAAGAGGCACGGACGTGCCTACAAGAGGCACGGACGTGCCTTTGATCGAGTGCAAACTTCCTTGGCTTCTGACTTCCAGGCACGGACGTGCCTGTGCTGGGCACGGACGTGCCTCCTGACGAGTGTAATTCTGCAGTCTTGGGCACGGACGCGCCCCTGCTAGGAACGGATGTGCCTAATGTCAAAGCTCATAGCTGTGTAAACTAACTTGGAGGCACGGACGTGCCTCTGCTAGGCACAGACGTGCCTCACTCCAAAAGTCCCTAAATATCTCGTTCTTCAATCAACAAGCCTCGTGAAGGTTCGTGGGCCTCGGTTTAGCTTCGTGACTTCGTAAAATATCCAATTTAGCTCCGTTAATCCTAAAATACATCAAAAACAACGAAACTACCCATAAAAGCATCAAATCATCGAAACTAAACCAAATTACACCAAAATAGACTAAAACACTCGACTAAGCTAATAAAACCAACTAAAAATAAGCTAACAAATATGCACAAAACACGACTTATCAAAGAAAGTGTTGATGATATTCAACAAATTGAAGAGGGTAATACTTTTTTTAATATCTACTATTATTTATTTAAGCTTGAATTTACAAAATGTTTCTGTTTTTTTTCTATTTTACTTTCTGCAATTATTTATATGTATTTACTGTATAACTTACTTTTTTTTAATGTAGAGTTGTCTTCTCTTGTTGATCCTCCCTCGGTTTTCGTCGTTGATGATTATTTTTAGAATTAGAAGTAATACTATTTTATTGGTTGGTATTTTTTTTTTTTTAATGTTATAGTTTCTGCATTTTTTTTAACAATAACTTTGACCTACTTTTAGTACAACAAATGCTACAATTACTTGTATAAATTTGCATCAGTGCTAATAATCCTGTGAACTTGCAAAGAACTAAAATTTGTGGATTTTCCATTTAAATCAGTGGAATTTTTTTTGTGGACATCCTAAGATGAAATACAGGATGATGTTTGTGGATGAAGGGGGTATATTTTTATTTTCTGGACGTGGACATCAAATGTTGGCGATGCTTGACAGACTTTATATGCACATATGTTCTAACCATTGCCAAGTTGGACTAAGGTTCTGATTGTTGTGTCTGACAAGAATGATACACTTGATTATGTGTCTGATGTGTATGATTATGTGGAATGTGATGTGGACATGCTACGTCTTGATTCAGAAGATAGAGATGCAAGTCATGTTTACTGGGACACAGACACATCAGAGATTCACCCCCCTGCAAAAGCCACTGGTAGTTAAATTAGCAGTATATCAACGGTGCAGAATGGAGTAGCAGATAAGAGGAGCTCATCTATAATGGATGATAGTTCCTCCACTTGTTCTACAGATTCTTCTCCTTCCATTTTAATAAATGGATCATACAAATGTGCCTACTATACCTGTATCTTCGTCTGCATTGGGCTTCATTTTTGCTAATCAATTCGTATTTATGTCTTTATAATGTTTATATCTCATGCAAATGTGCCTGCTTTAAATTCAACATCATCTGATTCTTTATTTGAATGTTCCTGTGTTTTCTAGGTACAGACACAGGAATCAGCAAGTGTGCTTCATTACCTAACTGTTGGAGCATGGGATCCTCATGATGTGAATTATGTTACATTAACTAGTGAATCAACATCCAGCTCTGGGATTTACGGACTTTGAACATTTCTTTGTTTTGTAATGTGACAATTAGTATGCAAGTTCTCTAAAATTTCATTGTATTATGTTATAATTAGTTGGTCTTCAGGGGTTTTTCAGTCACTTTGTGAGTTTGTTCACAGGTTATTCAATCAGTCACTGTGGTTTGTTCAGGTTATTTGATTAATTAAGTTATTCAGGTTATTTTGATTATTCAATTTGTTCAGGTTGTAATTTGCCTCTAAAGACTAAAACAGCAAAATAACTAAAATATACATATGAATTTGCCTTTTAAAAAAAGTAATTTTGCCTTTAAGAGCTTAATTTAGTATAAAATGATTAATATTAAATTATTAATAAAAAGAATCAGATATTGGATATCTGAAACATCCGATCCAAAAATTTCGGAAATTCGAATATCGGATATCCGAAGCTTTCGGATCAGATATCCTAATCTTCGGATACGGATATCCGATCCGAAAGTGGATTTCGAATCGAATATCCGATCCGTGCTCACCCCTAGTTTGGGGGTTTTGTGGGTTTTCTTTTGTTTTCATTTTCTTTTATTTATTTTTCTTTTTCATTTTATTTACCAGTATTTATTTATATCTTTATTTTCTTTTCTTTTCTTTTCTTTATTTTTATTCTTTTATATATATATATATATATATATATATATATATATATATATATATATATATATATATATATATATATATATTTACCCTTTTGGGGTTAATACTCTTTCCCAACCATTATTCACCCTAGATTAGAATTAGTTTAGCCTCTTTTTTATTTTCACTCTCTTAGTTTTAGGTTTAGTTTAGTTTTAGGGTTTTTATTTTTAGAGAGAGAAAGTGAGGAAAATCAAAGAAAGATTTAAGCTTTTTGAAGATTGTTTGGTGACAAAAGCAATTGGAAGAAAGATTCATCAATTAATGAGCATTTCTCACCTTCTCTCCTCTTATTTATTGTTTCATTTATTGCTTAATTTACTTGTTTTTCCTGTTTAATTTTATTGTTTGTGTTTGGTTGTTTATTGTTTTGTTGGTTAGTTGTTAACCTTAGTTTAGTTCTTGTTTATTGTTCTTAATGCTTAGTTTAGTTGCCTATTTTCCTAGTTTTTTCATGTTTTCCATGTTTTTATGTTTTTATCTCTCTTCTTAGGCTAGGTTTTTAATCTAGGGAAGGGGATGAAGGGGATATTGGTGTTTTTAATTAATTAATTGTGTTTAAATTGTGATTAAGGCTTAATTTGTGGACATGGATGATGACTTTATTGCTAATGGTCAATCTAGCTAATTGCCCCCTTCATGTTTATCATGCTCTTAATTAATTGTGCGGGATTGAGTTAATTGAGGGTATAAATTCATCCATGTTTAGGGTACTTTAATTGTGCGGGAGTGAATTAATTTAGTCGAGTTAATTAGCATGTTTGATTGTGCGGAAGCGAGTTAAATGTCTTAATTTCTCCTAATTAAACTCTTGATCATTTATGCACTTTTGGTTGTTTGAACTCGTCAATATGCCTCGATTCCCCTATCCCTAGTGCTTTTATCAATTGATTTAATTCGTCTTGTGTCATCTGTCCCAATTTCACATCTGACATAGTTGTTTAATTAATGCAAATTTGTGCCCTTAGTCCTTGTGGTTCGACTCCGAAACTTGTCCCTATACTCGTTTAAAGGTTAATTTAGGAATTATAAATATTTTTTGATAAGGAGGAGATAGTAAACGGCCTATATTCCTACCTCTTATCAGAGTCAAACTGTTGTATATAACATTCTTAAGGACCTCCTTCTGTTGTTGATATTTGGACAAAGATCCAAGCTTGTTTGCAAATTTTTGCATGATATGCCACATGCACCATCCGGTGATACGTAGTGGGTATCGGAAATACCTCAGCAATTGCCTTTCCCGTCGTCGCAACTTAGTCAGTCATTATGGCAGCCAGGGGTTTCCCCCATACAAGTGATCCAAGTGTTAAACAACCACACAAATGTCTCTGCATCCTCATGAGACACCAACGCACAACCTAATAGCACACTTTGACCGTGATGGTTAACGCCTACAAAATTAGAAAAGGGCATGTGATATTTATTGGTCATGTAGGTTGAATCAAAACAAACCACATCACTA